TTTTTTTTTTTTTGAGAGGGCATCTCTCATATTTATTGATCAAATGGTTGTTAACAACAATAAAATTCAGTATAGGGGGGTCAATGCTCAATGTACAATCATTAATCCATCTCAAGCCTAATTCTCGTCAGTCTCCAATCTTCTGAAGCATAACGAACAAGTTCTTACATGGTGAACGAATTCTTACAGAGTGAATAAATTCTTACATGGTGAACAGTACAAGGGCATTCATCACAGAAACTTTCGGTTTTGATCATGCAATATGACCTATAAACCATCAGGTCAAATATGAATATTCATTTGATTTTTGTACTTGATTTATATGTTGATCCCACATTTCTCCTATTATTATTATTATTTTTATTTTTAATAAAATGCTGAAGTGGTAGGTAGATGCAAGATAAAGGTAGAAAACATAGTTTAGTGCTGTAAGAAGGCAAATGTAGATGATCAGATGATCAGGTGTGTGCCTATGGACTAAGTATTAATCCAGGCTAGACAAGGGCAGCAAGACATCCACGGATGCAGAAGATTTCTCTCAAAGCAGGGGGGGTGAGGTTCTGAGCCTCACCTCTGTTGATCCCCAAATTCTCACCTGATGGCCCCCCTGCGACTGTGCCTGTCTTAGGTTGTTCCTCCCTTGAGGAATCTTACCCGTCTCTGGCTAACCAGTCATCTTCCGGGGCCATACAGGGAAATGTAAAGTTGGTAAGTGAGAGAGAAGCCATATTGTTTGCAAAGGTTAGCTTTTTACTTCTTTGCAGATTTATGCCCTGTGGCTTCTATGCCCAGCACTTGTCTCGAGGTATCTTTACCACCTGGAGGAATTATGATACTCGGTAAATTTGATATGAGGCACGAATTCTATTTAAGGGTGCACACAGACTTTTTGAAATTAACAAAGGCCTAAGGAGATTTCATGTATAAAGATTTCTAAGAAAAGAATAAAATAACATGTTGGTTAAATCATAGTTCTAGATCTAACTGTGCAAAAAATAGCTATATAGCCACAAAAAGCTAGGAAAGTGCTTCTTAGTTTCATTGGCTACAAAATGAAAAGAAACTGAAGATCCTACAGTCCCTTTCAACTTTAACATTCTCTAACCCCCTGACAGCACCAGGAAAATAAAGTATTAACATACAATTCTTGCTTTAGGTTAATTTTAATTTAGGATGGTCTCAAATTTTAGTTTTACCTCTAATTTCATTTCTTCTCTCCTAACAAAATAATTATAAACAGTCTGTTACAAAAGAGTTCCTTATCATTCTAAAGTACAATCAATCATGGCTTATTTTATATAACTGATGAGTCAGAAAAAATTCCAAACACACTGAAAATTGTGACTCACAACATAGCAACCAATGCTCTATGCATTTTGATCCCTATATGGAAATGAAGCTTTGAGTAGCTAGAGAACTTAGGTACCTGATTCTACACTGCTGAGAATATATTTAAGAGATTTAAAAATCACTGCACTTCATTCACTCTCACTATTGGTGGGAATGAAAATTTATAGAAATCATGTCAGGTGGACAATTACTACCAACATACAAAATAATTCAGTAAAGATGCTCAGGAAGTAAGAGTCACAAGGTTAAGGTTGATTTGAAAACTCAAAATGTTGCTAGAGTACATAATTTATGTTCATGCTAAATTGCCTTCTCAAGAATTTTCAAAATCAAGGCTCTGATTATCAGAAGATAAAATCATCATTCATTTTTCAACTACAGTGATTAGGTAGGTTAAAGCATGGGAAGATACTAGATACAGATAATATCCAAGAAATGAATTTCCTTTATAAATCCAACTTTAGAATCTACTCTGTTGAAGATTATAATATTAAATCTGAAGTACTGACCTCAAGGAGTAATGGTAGATTTGCCCCAAACACTGGAGGAATTGTTTTTTAAACAGTGTTTGCCAACAGGTAACACAGCAACAAAATTTGAAATTGTCCATAAATACTACTTTGTACAACTTAAAATTCATTTCTCTTTACAGAGCACACATTATTACTACCCAGAAGGGGCCACCTTCCTTTACTACCTATTTTCATCTTGAATATGACAGGATGCTTAAGTACAGTGGTTAACACAGGGAATCATTAAGCTATGGCAAGGGGCCACATACCTGTGTTTGTATTGTCATGTGCTATGAACTTTTGTATTTTAAATAGTTGGGGGAAAAAAATCAAAAGAATATTCTTGTACATGAAAATCATATGACATTTATATTGTAGTGCCTATAAGTAAAGTTTTATTGGAACAGCCATGGCCATTCATTCACATATTACCTATGCCACTTCCATGCTACAATGGCAGAGCCGAGTAGTGGTGAAAGAGACAATGGTCTATACAGAAAATGTGTGCTGACCTTATTATAATTAACTGAGAGAAAACCAGAAACTCAGTTATATAAATACAATAACCAAGATGCTGATGTAATTTTTTATCACAAGAGGCTATTTGAATATTTATATTTCATCAATTTTTGATGAACTTTACAAAAGTTCCATTCAATGACTTGAATATAATCCTTGTATAAATACCTCATGTGTTTAACATATATAAATCCTGGAAATAAACAAGGA